TTATCGCGATGTGTGGGCACACAGAAAATGAGAGTGCGCGAGTGAGTTCTCAAGACTCAAAAGCACGTGCAAATGATACGCTCCGTCATCTGTCATCGCGTTATAAGCGCAGAACCTGCTGGAATGAGTAGAATTATTATTAATAGGCGCAATCCCGCGCCTGAAATTCAAGACCTGCTCTGTGTTCTCTGCTAATAACCCGACTGTGAATGATGCGAGCGGCGTCACTATGTTGTCAAGCTGCAGCCGTGGCCGAGAATGATTTTTGGTACAACAACAACAATGCGCTAAATGTTTCTTTTCCCCTCATTTTTTCCAATTGACGGAAATCCGTCGTAGACTCACTGCAATTAACGGAAATCCATCGTAGACTCACTGCAATTAACGGAAATCCGTCGTAGACTCACTGCAATTAACGGAAATCCGTCGTAGCGACGGAGAACTTTAATCCCTGAGCCAGTCTGAATGATTTGTTTACGAATCTGGATCTCTTTGGGATGATCAATGATCCAGTTGCAATGATTCTCAAGTTCAGACAATTCACAATTATCAGTGAATAACAACATGAATTTCAGTCTGATGTTTGAGCATTCGAGTCTTTGATGACACTTTCATGGCGCTTTTGCATCCTCATTCATTTGTATTGCATTAAAAAGAGTGACTAGTATATTACTACTAGTACAAAGAATGAGGAGTAATTATAACAGTTCTGCTACAATCTGGCTGAACTATAACATCATACATAAAATCACAATGCAAAAAAAGTCTTTATGGAAAATACATTTTTCAAACATTTTTTTTCTTTTTGTTTTACAGTGGATTGGACACACGTTTGTGAGAAGCTCTGTAGATTTACAGACCCATAAGCAGACGTGTGTTTGTTGATGTAGTGAACAGCTGTCCCGTGTGTGTGTGAGAGAGAGCTGCATATATGCCAGATCACTGAAGTTGCCAAAGCTGTTGCAGGTCAGGCTCTCTCACACACACACACACACACACACACACAGTTATGTGCTGGTGTTTGCAGCACATCACTCAGAATCCCTGTCCTAGCAGGTTTGACAAATATGAACTAACTCTGGCCTACCGCAGACGCTCCTGATCTCTCGCTTGTTTCGCATGCGTCAAACATTCGCACTCATCAGAGGGAAGCAAAACCAATTAAAAAGTTTCAGGGCTAAAAATAAGCCTCAGCATCTCTGGAGACAAGCTTTACTTCATCATATTTAGCTTGATTCATATCGGTTTCACGGCTAGCAATTCAGTTAAGAGTGATCACGCTTCAGTCACCATCTAGGTTTGATCAGCTTTTTTAGAAAATCATATGCAAATTAGGTAGAAATGTAATGATACTTACAATGCGTGCACATTTCCAGGGGATAACTTGCCTCATTTCCCTACAAAAGAAGAACATAAACATGCAGATTTCATGAACCTTTCTTAAATGTACTACACATGACCTCTCTCTTACAGATATTAAAGTCAAAGACAGCAATGTATTATATAGTATATAATAATAAAAAAGCATCATATTTTAGGGATCAAAAACACTGTAATTTGGGAGAAATTCAAAGCCAGTAAACCATTAGGAAGATTTCAGATGAGCGCAACACCGGTGAAGAGACGACGCCAACTCTGCATCAACGTACAAACCCGCCAAATTAACCTTATATTGTAACGATCACGATTACATCATGCAAGCTTTGCTTTAATGTCACAGGCATCTCTGATAACAGATTTCTCATTTGTAATGTAGAAATACTGGACTTCTGTATAGCTGCTTTGAAACGATATGCATTGCGAAAAGCACTTCACAAGTAAATGCAAATTAAATTTAGTATCCGAGGCATTTTAAAATTATGATGAGGTCTGATATATATCGTTATGTCAAATAAAAAAAAAAAGTTTAAAATAAATGTTGAAATAAAAAATAAATCTTGAATAAATCTAAAAAACAAAAATCTTTTTTTGTTGATGTACAAATAAATAAATATGTATTTAATTAATAAATAAAACGAATTTTCTTTTTTTTAAGCACATTACAATAAGAAAAACAAACAAATAAATTAGCCTACCATTGATGCCCTGCCAACCTGTTCTTATTTAGATCATTTTGAAACTTTAACAGCAAAAATATGAACAACAGAATCCTACATACTAACGTTTCTATGTCTCGAGCATAACCGTGGCTGTGACACAGAGACAGTGATACAAATCAAACGCTGCTCTGTTCTAGAAGATGAAATACTAAATGGCTCCACTCTCTGTATCTCCATCTGCTTTGATTTATTATTTATAAAGTCCCATTCAGTTCAAGGGCTCAAAGGCCCATATTCTGTCTCCGTCACAGTAGTGAGGGACAGATGAGCGTCTGACTGATTCATTCTCTGTAATAAATGAAGCTCATACACAGGTAGTGGAGCTCCACCAGGAGCCGCTTTTGCTTAGTTTTAAAGGGGTTATATGATGCGATTTCAATTTTTCCTTTCTCTTTTCAGTATTTGAATGTACAGTATTTGAAAAATAATGTGTTTTTTGAACATTAAAGCATGTCAACATATTCTGTTACACCAAATACACCAAATAATGATCTTTAAAATAGCATCATATGACCCCTTTAAACATTTCAGGTCTGGATTCTTTGTGTGTTTTGACTAAACAGCAGTGGTTTGCACATTAGCGCTATGTCAGGGTGAATGTGTGATGTGTGTGAGTGTATCTGGGTTTGGTGTTGTGCAGCAGCGTGGGCTTTGTGAACGGATCATGTGATCAGCAGCGAGAGCTGAAGCCCCACAGCAGCAATACAAAGAGATGGAAAAAGCTACAGTTGGGCTGGCTATCGAAACGAATTTAGATACAAAGACTTGAAAGGGAGAATCGTTCAGTCAGAGTGCAGAACTCGCACTGGACTGAAGTCATGGGCCGCTTCAGTGATGACCGCGCACTTTCTGTATACTACTTATTCCTAGCTTGAATAACCCTTTAGATTTTTTTTTTGCTACTGAAATAACCAATGTGAAGTCTTGATGTTCTAATGCATCTGGTTAAATTCTGGGTGAGATACACAGGCAAAAAATTTCGTGACAGAACATTTATTAATTACACTTAGGGCTGGACGATATGGCCAAAATTGATATCACGATATATTTCTTAATTTCGGTCGATACGATATAATTCCGATATCGATATGAACACTATTTATCTGAAATAGAAATCTTTTGTAACATTATAAATGCCTTTATCATCACTTTTGATAAATTTTAAGCATCCTTGCTAAATAAAAGTATTAATTTCTATAATTTCTTTCCCAAAAAAATAATAAAAATTGTACTGAATGGAATAGTGTATAATGTTACAAAAGCTTTTTATGTTTTTTATGTTATGTTTTATGTTTTATGTTTATGGAAATGTTGCTGGAGACGGGCTTATTTAAAATGAAAACTCATTCTCTGCCAGCAGGAGGCGCTTTTAGAGTGATAAAACTAGCGGTTTCTCCAGTAACGGCTGTAATCAAAGCAGCTCCGCTCATGAACGCTTCTTTATCAGATCAAATGAAAATGCCATCGAAACTTTTCTGAAGACAGTCAGTTCCCTTCAGAGATACATTCATATAAAACACCCGCGCCGTGTTATGATTTTGAAACGTGCAGTGCTCATGTTTATTCAACGAAGTCAAACGGCACAAATAAATCAATGTATGGGAAACTGGTAATGTATATCGAAATATCGGAAATGTGTTTAAAAATCATATCACCGTTATTGAAAAAAATTATATCGCAATACATATTGATATTGAATTATTGTCCAGCCCTAATTACACTACAAATATACTGATTCTGCAGGACTCTTTGTGGTTTTGTCTTGCATCCTCAGAGATGAAACATCACAAATCTATGAAACTGACTGTGAAAAGCAGATGCAGTATATGCAAATGCAGAGCCGCAGTAAAATGGCATCTGAAGTGTTTTTGAAGAGTGGAACTGAGTTATTAATACCAGATCCAAAATAAACAAATGACACCGATGATTATTCACAGTAGACCTTACCATCCACGAGCCTTGCAGCTCAGAAAAGAGAGAATAGACAGGAAAAGATGGCGTTTTAAATGAAATCCTGAATCATTAGTGGGCTCTTCTGAGATGTAAATGAACTCTTTCGTGGGCTGAACATTGTCTGGAAGACCCAAGAGGCAAACACTCAGCGCAGTTCATAAATAATGCATTCACCATTCAGAGTCAATTAGACCGCACAAAACATGCACTGCACAGTGAACGCACACCCTTGCTCCCTGCAGAGCAAACATAAATACACAAACAAAACTCGCTGAAACATCTTCAATAACAGTGTAAAATGAATAGAGAGAATGAATGACAAATGTGTCATGGCTGGAAATGCTGCTTATAGCTGGTCATATTCATAACTGTCAGTCTTTGATGTCCTTTTTGCTCGTGCCAGTTACATTTAAGCAATACGGTTTGAGGCCAAAGAAGTGGTTTGTGATGGAGATGTTAGACTAGACATAGAGGAAACAATTTTACCGTTTCATTTGAGAAAACTAGCATCATCATACTGTATACACACAGAAACTTGATGGCAACCTGTCAAAATAAAAGTACGGTTTAACATGTAACAGAAATATATTACTCTTGCATTACATTTGTAAGGAATAATTGACGACAGGCTATTGAATTATTAGAAAAATAATGCACACCCGAGGTGGTGATGCGGCCACGACGCAAAGCATCATGTGTAGCCTTTAAGTTGCTACACTATATAGGCTAACTGATAAGTACCGATATCGGTACCGTACCAGTTAAAATGTGACCGGTACCCAACCCTAGTGATATTGGGGCCTTTCGCACCGCTTTAGTTCCAGAACTAACTGTACAGTACTAAAGTACTGGGACGATTTTGCAAAAAGTGGGTAGCTCCACAATTAGTTCTGGTACTATGAAAATATTCCCGCGGTGCAAAAGGCCCTATAGTTTCAATTCATAAAACAGGTTTGTGTTGCCTAACTTTGACGATGTGTATCTTCAGCACAGTTTGCAGTGCAGGCTGCAATATTAATAACATAACTTTTTTTTTGTCTCTTAGAAATGCACATTTGACAGTAGCTTGAGTTGACAGTAGTAGTAGCTTGAGTTAGGATGCAGATGCAAATTTATGTTCATGATCAAAAACAGTAACATCTGGACAAATTGTAACAGCCTCATGTTTATATAGTGAAATGTAATTATTCTGACTGTTTGAGTTTTATTAAAATTAACAATTGGTCTTCCATACAGCATACAGAGCATGATAACCACAGTTAAAACCACACATATAGCCATGGTAGTATGTAACTATATGGTCTCTAGGTATTTGTATGAAAAACAGTAATCTAAATACATTTAGTATAAATGCACAAAAGCTTAGCTTAATCACAAAAAATACTGTAATCATATACTATGACTCCTTTAACACATTTATTACATGTCTACATTACAAATATAATAAAATTCGATATGAATATCCCACATTTCTCCCACAATACCATGGTGCTGTTAGAGTTACTACAGTAAATCCATGGTAAATGATGCTGATTTGTAGATTGAAAAGCCTTCTGACTGTATCGCTGTGCACAGTGTTTCTGCTGTTTGTCAGCACTGTTTCATCTGCCTTTAAACTAGTTTAAATCATTTGTGCTCTTCACTGAATTCAAGCGCTTCACACTGGATCTCACAGCGCTGTTTAGTGTTGCGTGACCGACACTTATCAGTGAGTAAACGCATGCCGTCTGAACTTTGACCCGAGTGGATAAATGCTCCGTGTGGTGCAGTTCAAATGAGTAGCGCTGATTCCTTTCGCTTTTGGTGCATAAACATTATACCGAACACTTTTTATTGTTTTATCGCCGTTTTATCATTATTGTTTTATCGCTCAGCACTAGCAGAAAATCTATTCTGATATCCACGTAAAACCACCTGTCTATGGTGGTAATAACTAAAAAAATATCAGCCCTAAAACTAAAGATTATTATTTTCTACTAAAGGTAAAATTGCAAACATGAGTAATAAAGGGGAGAGAACTGATATGATCGTTCTTCATTCTCCTTTACAATGCCCACAAAAAATGACTAATGCTCACAAACAGCTGCACACAGCCTGAGTGCAGGCCTCCGCTTGACTAGTGTGTGTGTGTGTGTGTGTGTGTGTCTAATACCTGGAGAAAGCCAGCCGCTAGCATTCCTATTGATCTCAACTCCACGCAGGAACAATACTAGCTTTACATGTCAGACAGACTCTTCCTGTCTAGGTGGGCGGTTCTCCAACAGAATAAACTGCAATGTACCAGACCTTACATGACGTCCAGTGAAAACCTTGACCCCTCATGCATACTAATAATAATTCTTTAG